ATTCTGGGAGTTGAAGTCCACACAGCTTAAAGCGGCCAAGGCTGAGGAACACTGCCATAAGGGATCTGCCCAGTGTGCATTAGAAGGTTTCATTTTTGGAACTCCTGGCATGAGCAAGGCCAACTGCCTAAGGCTTTTGCCTGAGCGGTTATCTAAGAAAGATGCCCTGCTATATGTGGGGTCTAAGTTTTGCCTCATTAACAGTTTGTTATCAATGAACTACACAGGAGTTGTGAATAAGACACAAAGACAGGTTTGCTCTAGCCTTCCTTTTCCTGGACTGGCTGATGCAACGGCAAAATGGTGATAAATGCTCTTTTTAAATATAATCTTCTGACAAGGCCATGAGGAGGGAGAACAGGACATAAGAGGAACAGAGATGTGAAATGGCTGGTGATTGTTGCTTGCTGGGCTGCTCAGACGAATTCTATTGCAGATTCAGCTTACCAGTCATCACACTACTCTGAAAGTTTGCAGTGCATTTGGGGGGGAAAAAATGGCTGTCTTCACTTCAGATTAGAGACACAATTCTTCTAGTTCCTATTAAATTCTATTAAAATTTAAATAGTTCCTACTAAATGTGTGCATGGCATCAGTTTCACTTTTTGCAACCTGAAGAAGTGGATGATGTCTTTGTGAATCTTAGGCTAATTATCTGTGCTCTTGAACACTGTGGCTCTTAATATCAATGAGGCAATGTAGGGAATGGTTAAAGCCTCTTGGTGTAAGGGAGTTATGTCTACCACCTTGAAAAACGTGGTGGTTCAGATTTTCTTGAAGAGGTTCTCCTTGGAGGTTTTGGATAATTGCTGCCCAGTTGCAAATATTTCTTTCTTGCATGGGTATAATATTGCCCCTCTTCCCCCAGGCTGAATTAGGCTGACAAACCAAAAGCTTGCAAGCATCACTCTGACAAAGCATATTCAGTGTGGTTGAGGCTATTCAGGTGCAGTATCCCTAGCTCTCCGTACAGCACTAGAATGATTAAAATCCCATTTCTGTTATTTTGTATTTTCACCTGCTACGTATTTTTTTCCAGATGCCTATTGACTGCTGTCCCCACCCAACTCCCAAAAGGCAGGTTTTCTAGTTTGCCTTTCCATGCTCTCTGACTCCTTTTGAAATCCTATAGCTCAAGGGACATTCCAGTCTTTCAGAGCCTTAGGTCAGCATTCCCAGTGCTGTAGCAATCAGGTTGCTGCTTTCTGTTATGCCAGATGTTGCTATATGAAAGTGTGGCCCCACTGTCCATTGTGCCAGACAGTCGCAGCTCTAATTCTTTGCCTCCTTCAGTACCTGTTAAGATGAGCTGGGTTTTTTATGTTCCTAATCTGTCACTTCAGCTGCATGTAGGAAGGTTTCACCTTCACAAGCACAACTCTGAGAGTTAAAAACTAAGAGTTTAAGGGAGGAATGGAGGCTTCCTGTGCAATGCTTTAATCATGACACAGCAGTGCTTGCCAGTTGAATGAAGACAATCCAGTACCATTTATAATTCCACAATTAAATTATTACAAAAGGTTCTGATCATCTTGAACTGTTGGGTTGTATAGTCAGGCACTTTCTGATTAAGTTGTGTGGGTATCCATTGTGTTGGAAGATGTTGTATAGGTGATCTGTTTCCTCTTTCTGGAATCCCTGGTCCCTACAGGGTGTTTGTGCTCATCTGAATAATTTTTCTTATGCGCCTCTCTTGTAGGTGGTTGGGGTGTTGCTTTGGTAGTGAAGCATTTGGTTAGTGTGAGTTGTGTGATTGCACAACCCACTACAACTCAACCGTTACAACCTATGAAAAGGTAACACTCCCGTATTCGTCTCCCTTTGGTTAATAAAAATGATGAAAAACACTGGAATTATTCCAGGAGAAGAAAAAAACAAGAAAAATGTTTGTCTTAATTTTGTCTTTGGAAAAGCAAAGTATTGGCTTCACCTTTGACCCACTTGCTCCATAGGAAATGAGGCCAAGTTCCCAAAGCTTACTGATTATATGTCACCTTTTAAAATTACATGTTATGGCAGACTAATTATCATTAACTAGCCTAAATGTTACATTAGCATTAAACACGTGGAATGTAAATTTTTTTTATAAAGCAAGACATAAATGAAAATATTAAGCACTATATGCTGACTTTACTGTGCATTGAAGAAGGAAAGCAAATCATCCTTATAGAACCATCTGGGTTTCCTTTGTGAATATTTTGATTTCACTTTGGCTGACAACTGCCCATTGATCCTAAATGACTGTTCTTAATTCCATCATCAGGGACAGCATGACTGAAGTTTGCAATGATTTGCATTATGCAAATGAGCAGTTTATTTCACAAAGGAGCATTTCTGTCAGAACAACACAAATGTCTCTTCCCTCCCTCCCTCCCTCCCCCCACAGTTGGAGGCTTGTATATTTCAGGACCAAAGCAGATCTCCTATTTCTCCAAGGGCTGCCAAGATTATTGATGGAGGCCATTTATCTTATTTGGAAAATGACAGGCTTATAGAGTCTGGGAAACAAGGGAGGTCCTGCTTTCCTTTATATTCAAGAACAGCAGCCTTTTTCCTCACCCCTGTTTCTATCGTGTTTGTTAATACCCACAACCTTTGCCAACATTTTCTGTTCATTTCACAAACTCTTCTAAATAAATTTTGAAAAATTTCACTAAGGAGAGGGAGTCTTTTGTCTGTTAGTACAACATGTCTGGGTTGCCCATTGCTACTATTTTTAGCTTGTCCAAACTGCAAATTCTCCCATAAGTGGTTTACAGTTGCAATGCTAAAGAGGAAGCAGGGTGGGGGAAAGACGCAAAGAGAATTATATGCAAGGGAACAAACTAGCATGGTATATTTCAAGCATAATCAGCCAGTTTAAGACTATACCCACCATATCAGCCCTGCAGTTCTGTGTTCTTTGTTCCTGTGTGGCTTTCTAAATAACAAGTGTTCCATTCTGGATCCCCTCTGCAAACATGTAAAAAGAGCAACATACAACCAGAAGTTGTTAGAATTTGTATCTTAAAAATTTCCTCCATAGACATAGGTTGTATGTACAGGCAGCAGAGTTGCAAGCACAGAACAGTTCCTGGCTGGATTCTCATGAACCACTTTTTAGAAATATTGGCATGTCAGACTCTTCTTCAAATAGGTATTTGTGTGTGTTCAAACTGCAACATGGCTATAGTGTAGTTTATGTTGTAGGGAAAACATTGTACTGTAAAATAATGATAATAAAAAAATCCCTTCTTACCCCTATGGGTGGTATGTGTCTTCCTCAATCTTGGGTCCTCTACCAGAGGCTTGGGAGTTTGAGGGTTCTGCACACTATCTTAGCTGTTCCTAACACTGCACTCTTCTGGACAGAGAGCTCTGATGTTGTTTCTGGGATCTGTTGCAGCCAGTCTCCCAGCTGAGGAATGATAGCCCCGAGTGCTCCTACCAGCACTGAGACCACTTTGGCCTTTACTTTCCACATCTTCTCTAGTTCCTCCTTCAGGCCCTGGTACTTCTCCCAACTTCTCATACTCCTTCTTCCTGAAGTTGTTTGTTCTTGGCACCTCTACATCTATTACTACTACTGTCTTCTGGTCCTTGTCTACTAATGTCTGGTTGATTGGCCAGTACCTGCCTATCCATCTGGATCTGGAAGTCCCACAGGATCT